AAATTATCATTTGTTAATACATTAATGTTTATTGATAAATTATTATATAGATTTATTATTAGTAGTCTGTATAAAGATGACTCTTACACACTTTGGAGATTCACAACTCCTACACCCCATAAATATATTAATATATAATCATAATTATTATATTAAATTATCAGGTATTAGTATTTTATTTATTAACATGTAATATATATTATTATCATTATTATTATATATTATTGTATTTTGTTATTTGTATATTTGTTGTATTACTGTTAAGTTTATTTATTACTAATATATTTTAACTTTAAATAATAATAATAGTAATAGCAAAGTAATTATAAAGGACCCAAAACATTAAGTAGGACCCTACATTAATTGGGATTCACTGCTATGAAATTTAGAGTCTGTAATCCTCAAAATACTTGTGAATCTCTTCTGCCAAACTTGTGCTTTATTAGTAAATATGATTCAATTCAACTTTTTGTACAAAAATATATTAATAGATTTCATAATTATCTCCTTTCATTGTCATTTGAAAAGAAAAACAGAACAACAGAATTAATCAGCAGGTCTGACTCACTTATGTACTTTATTTGATGACAACTGACAAGATTCTAATAGAGAAGTAATGAAAAAAAATTAAAAGGGAATTTAAATGAATTAAAAATATAAAAATACCAGTCTGCAGAAATAGCATATTTAATTGGGACTTTATTTCAAACATATTACTTAATTAGTAGTTGATTACTGTTGCAAAGCATATTTTAAAGGTTCAAAGTGCTCAGAACTGGCAGGTCTGACAGAACAGTGCCCATCCACATCTGCTCCTGTGGGAGGTTGATAATCCAGTGTTATTTTACTCACATGATGTTTCCTTCTGCTTTCCAAACCAGCTGGATAAAATAACACCTATTCTCAGCAGTCCTCAGCTGAAAGTCCCACCCCAAACCAGAATACTGGAGTTAATGGATATTTCACCCTTCTCATACCCAAAATGCTGGCAATACTGAAGGTTTTTATTTCCCAGCAGAAAATCTTCAAAGTTCAGTGACAAAATTCCTTTCTTGACTTGAGGGGAGTCGAAATGAACCCAGGAAAGCTTTCTGTTGGTTGTCCCTCCTCCACGTCCCATTTCAGGCATCATCAGTCTGGCACGCGAGGCTGAAAGGTGATTTTAGGCTGGGCAGATTGAAAGAATATTAAGTAAGGCTGCTACTTCTTTCTTTTTTTTTTTTTTTTTTGCTGTCTGTGGACCCAGCTGGGAAATAATGCAAGATTTGGAAATGAAGCTGGAAACTAGATGGAAAAAACCCCCACGTTCTAATATTTCCTAACATATCTTACGGGCCAGCAAGGCAGCAGATGGGAGACACTTGTCTGGGTCTGACATATGTCACCATGTCAGGGTGTTCACAACCTTGTCCACTGAAAACTGCTGAAAAATAAATCAGATTATTATAACAGATGGCTGTTAATAGCTCCTGAGAGCATCCTCCCCCAACATTTCCAAGCAAGTGCCCTCCACTGGACATGTCCACACAGCATTAAGTGTCCCACAGGGACCACAGGGAAAAGTTCCCCACTGCCTTTGTGATTAATATTATTAAAGAGACTAAAGGTAAAAGTTCTTTTAAAATAACTGGATTATTTAACCTTTTTTTTCCCCTCGGGTTTGTTTTTTTTTTTCTTTCCTGGCACTGTGTGTGGAGTGCTTTCAAACTGTATAAAATACCATCAGAAAAAAAATCATGCTTTTAATCCTTTATCACACTGAAGGCAGAGTGGAACAGAAAGTTAACAGGGTTATCACCAAGACAAAAAGCTCAATAATCAGGGGAGGCTGTCAGGTGGCAAAATGCTTGAATGGGCATTGTAAAAATATATGAAGGTTTAGATGTCAGTCTTGCAAAATTACAAACAACAGGCAAGGCATTTTAAACAGGAGAGTGCTCCTCAGAGGCTGAAACAACACCCCAGATGAAAAGAATTTAAAAGCCAAGGATCCTGCCTGCTTTACTTCACATTCTGCCAGGAAGAAACACAGAAAATAACAGTATTTACTGAAGTATTTGGAGCACCTCTGCTGTTTGTCTCACATGCTGTGTTAGTTTTTTGTAACTCAGAGCTATTAAAGAAAACTAATGAACAAAAACAAGTAGCTTTGCAAAGTGTTTATTAACACTTTGAGTCCTGCAATGGAGTACTGGAAGAAAAAGAGGAATGAAAACGAGCTTTCAAGGGCAAAATTTTCAAGTGAGATGGACCCAAACCCATTAAAGGTAAATACAGCACCCTGCACAGAAATAATTACCACAGAAGATGGAATTTGTGATCAAATTATTATAATCCAAAGCAGTTTGCAACAAGAAAACCAAACCAGCATTTATTACCATTTGGAAAGCAGAATTACTGGATATCAAACTGTAAGCCACAGAAGACTTTAAAATTAATTTTCATGACATCACCAAATGAGCCATTTAAAGTTTTGCATATTTTCTTCTTAAATCCATGTTTTTTGGAAACACAAATGCAAGGAATTCACTGCCTTAGCTGAGAATTGGGGCTGGAATTGCACAAGTCATCCTTGGGTTTTGTATTTTTTGTGTGTTTTCCCTCAGAGCCAATGGAAAAATGTCCCATAAACAGCTGTAAAAACTCCCAAAACAAGCCAAAAGTGTGGGAATCCTAGAGCTGCCACATCTTCAGCCTTCTGTTTTAAACGAGCCTCCTGGACAAATCCTCCAGGGTTTGTTCCACTGGGGGGGGAGGTTTTGAGTATAAATTATTGATTATAAATTTTTTTGATCTAAGTGTGTTTTTCAGGGTCAGTTTTGCCTTATGATGGGGAAAGGGGATGTGACAGCCCCCAGCTCCCCACGTGAGCCGAGATTCCCACTCTGGGACAGCAAAATTCCTGTTACTAAAATGTGACAAATCCCTCCACAGTTTTTTGTTTTTTTTTTTTACTGATATGTACATTTTTTCCTCTACTGATCATGTAAAATATCTGAGCAAATTAAGAATTTTGTACAACCCTTGGCCACTTTTGTAAGTCTTCTTATTTAAAGGTAGGACACTGAGTCTTTTGATGTGATTTGGGCCTTAAATCTCAGTTTTACACTGGTATTTTATGCCTTAAATTACACTGGTCTTTTTACACTGGTAGAAACTTATCAATGGCCCAAAGGATTGGTTAGAAAAGGCTTCACCAAACCAAGATACATGTGGGATAACCCAGAAAGAGAAACAGGAATATCTCAATTCTTACAGCACTCCAAATGCAGCAGATTCCACCTGAGAGCTCAAAGCACATTAGAGGACAGTGCAGCTGCTCCTGTCACCTGAAATGTGTGAAACTCCACCTGGAGTTGTTTTAATTTGTGTTCAGATTCACAGCTGCCTCTCTACAAAATCAGATTCCACGGCCAAGTCCTGTTCCTGCATCACAGGAGGGCAGGTGTGGCGAGGCTGGTCAGTGCTGCCACACAACGTGAACTGCAGGGAAACGAGGGCAAACACTGCAGCCTGGGGGATTTTGTCACACGTTTTTTATATCAGAAACCCTACTGGCATCCTTTATGAACCCGTGTGAAGCAAAAGCAGCCCCAACCCTGGAAGAAAGGGGGTTTTCTGACATCCATTCGGTCTGGCGTGTGAGAAACTCCCCCTGCTGAGGTGAGAGGCTGCTGCAGTCAGGCAGGACTGATCCTTCTGGTTAGGAGGCCACCTCGGAGCAGCTCTGACAACAGGGGCTGCTCTAGCCAAGGGCAAAATATGCAGTGGTGGCAGCAGGGGAAAGCAAAACCGGGTCTAAAGCACTGGTGGGAAGCTGGAAATGAGCTTGCAAGGGGAACGAGCTTCTAACTTCTGATGGCTAAAACATGTTTGTGTGGAGCTGTGGACAAGGGAATGGGAGAACCACAGCTCTAAAGTGAAACACAAAGCTACAGAAGTAGAGACCAGTCACTAGTGGGGCTCCACAGGGCTCCAGGAATGGCCTGGAGCTGTGTCAGGCAGGTTTAGGTTGAATATTAGGAAAAGGTTCCTCCCCCAGAGGGTGGTTGGGCACTGACCAGGCTCCCCAGGGCAGTGGGCACAGCACCAAGGCTGACAGAGCTCCAGGAGGTTTGGACAGTGCTCTCAAGGGACAGGGTGGGACTCCTGGGGTTGTCTTGGGCAGGTCCAGGAGTTGGACTCGATTTTTGTGGGTCAATTCCAACTCAGGGCATTCTGTGACTCTGTGATTCTATGAAGCAAAATGCCTCTTGCAGAAGTGGGTAACACTGGGGGCTGTTTAAAAACAAGGCAAGAGGAAAACCCTGGGCCACCTCCTCCTTTTAGCATAGAAAGACCTGTTAAGGAATTCTATAAATATGAGCCTAATTAATGTGAAAAAACCAGCATTTTTTGTGTCTTGGAGAGTTGGGGGTGATGTTTGTGAATTATTGCTACTCCTTGGCGGTGCAACACCTGCTATAAATAAAACCACAAGCTGTAGGAGGTAGCATAAACAAATACACTCTCATATCCTCATGCCTAAATCACAGCCCTCACCAAAAAGCCATTCTGTGAGTGCAGAAGAGGCAGAACTGCAGTACCTCTCTTCTGGGTGTTTAAATGGGAATCCTTTGCTACTTGCAGCAGGAAAAAGATTTCAGAGTTCAAAAGGACTCTTAAAAAGCTCATTTGTGGTTTCAGAAAATTCCAACATGGTGAAGCCAAATCACACCATGAATATTCAATATCTGTGCATCCTGTCTGTTGTCACTTTTTGGACCATAACCTTTTTTTCCCCTCTCTGCCTGTTCTGGACAGGACTTTCCTCACCTTCAGGAGATCTACTGGTGCTCATTCAGCCTCTCACTGATGATCAGATGGCTGAAGAAAGGTGGCAGAGATAAACCTTGATCTGTAATGAACAACATGCCACATTTGAGAAAAACAGTGAAACAATCCACTGTTTTCCAGTCTCCAAGCCTGTATAAGCAGGTACATTGAATACTGGTCTAATAAAGACTCAAATGCATGTCGTTTATATGCTGTGGTGTTAACTGCTCCTAATATAATAGATATATAATTTCAATATAATAATTAAAAGTTTGCATTTTTCATGGGAACAAAATATTCCAATTAAACAAATAAAACAAGGGCTGGCATTAAAAAGCCATGATTCTGCACACAACATCTGAAAAAAATGTCACCAGGCCCTCAGTGGATTCACTAAGGAGGAATTCACGAGTCTACACTGATGCTAAAAATGTAGCTGCACGAATGGACACTGCTCTGTGGAAAAAAACTTCTATATAGACTACTTTAATTAGCATGAAGTGTGGTTAAACTAGGGCAACTCCACATGTATAATTCCTTTCATGCCACTGTAAAACTTAATCTGGTTTAGATTCAGTCACTTCCAAACCAACCTTGGGAAAAGACAGTCAGCTCAGAATAAGAATGAGATTGAGAATGAGGCCACTTTATTGAAGGGAAATTAAATTAGACCTTTTCATAGAGCAGGAAAATGTCTTTCTGTGGACAAATTCATGAGCAGGCTCTTGGCACAGATTTGCTTTCAGGGGAAACCAAAGCAGATCTTTTGTTGGAGGCTGTGAGGTGCTCAGCATCCCGAATTCCCATGGATTCCCTTGATCAGAGCTTTGACAAGAGAAACAAAATATGAGCATTTGTGTAAAGCAGGACTTTGCTTTCTGTGCTCTGAGAACAGGGCCGTGTTTGTTACCTTTAGCTCTCTGTTTGACAGGGTTTATTCACCAGCTCTGCAGCAGCAGTTCTGGGATCGTGTTACCTGTCTGAAACACCTTTCACAGCACAGACCTTTGAGAATATCCCATTCTTGGGGTCTGAACCAATTAAATGCTTTTTTTTAATGAATAGTTTATTCACCTAAATGACAGGTAACTGTGAATTTGACCTAAATTTACCAGGCAGCTTTGAACCTGTTTTCAAGTGAGGGGGAGAGAAGAAGATGTTTAATTTTAGCATTTGGAAAAGAAGATGTTTCCATTCTTTATATCTGATTTACACCACCAGTGGTTTATGGACATCAAGGTGGCAACACCATAAGAGAAGTCAGAAAGGTAACTGAGCCCTCTCTGGTGGACTTTGCAATGTATAGTGGTGATATACGTGGACTTTGCAATGTCCCAGTGTTTAGTGGTCATATAGATGCTGTAGGAACTCACATGACATTTATTTCTGGATAGAAACACAGTTTCTTACAAAGCCTAAGTGATACAGAAAAAACAACCATGTCATTCATGTTACTTTGCATTCAAAATGGAAAACTTCTTAACATTGTTTTTAGAAGAAGACCAATAAATTTTGATGGAAACCAGGTTTCTTTTTACAGCTATATAGGTTTAATATTTAAAGTGGTGGTTGAAGATTTCCTTCAGGATAAACATTCCCATTTTGAAGAGCAATCATTTAGCTTTTTCACACTTTAAATCCTACATGGCTCACACACCTAATTTTGGTCTCATGGGATGCTGCAGGCCTGCAACTGGTTCTGGAATTATCAGGGATTCAGCTACATGAAATACTGAAAACCAATTAATATAACCAACTGCAAGCAGCCTTTTGTGGGTCTCTGTGCCCTTCAACTTCAAACAAGAGTCATTGGAGGGATACTGAGTGAACACTGAATCCACTCCACACAGAATGCTAAAATGATTCAAGTGCATTTACTCTTTTTTCACAAGAACCTGTAATGCTCAAAGCACCAAAACAATGAGAGAAGAAAACCTTAAGGCACTGTCAACTTAGAAACCACAAACAGCAGAGGGGAGAAGAGGAAATTTGTTTCACAGACTGATTCTGCTTCTTTTGGAATGAAGGCAAAATGCTCACAACTTCAAGTACCTCCAATTTTTTACCAAGTCTGCATGCCCATTAAAATTAATGATCAAATATTTTCAGATACGAAGGACTTTGCTCAGTTTTGTTGTTGCTGTTGGTTTTGTTTGGGGTTTTTTGTTTGTTTGGGGTTTTGCTTGTTTGTTTTAACACAGTACCCACTCTCCCATGGGAGTATAAAGCACTGGAGAGATCCCAGACATTTACTGAACACTTCTCCAGCACATTCCCCAACACATCTACTTCTCTGAATGCCCAACTGATGCATTTCCTGGGACAGAAAGGAAAGGGAAAGACTTCCAGAAACCTCATAGTGGGTTGAGTCTGGCTAAATTCCAGGTGCCCCTCCAGCCACTCCCCGACTCCCTCTTCTCAACTGGACAGGGGAGGGAAAATCCAACAAAGAAAGGCTCATAGGTCAAGCTAAGGGAGAGATCACTCACCGATTACCACTATGGGCAAAGTAGACTCGACTTGGGGGAAATTAATCTATTGCTAATCAAATTCGGGTAGGATAATGAGAAATAAAACCAAATCTTAAGGCGCTTTCCCTCACCTCTCCCTCCTTCCCAGGCTCAGCTTCACTCCCGGTTTCTCTGCCTCCTCCTGTCCAGCAGGGGGACCGGGAATGGGGGTTGTGGTCAGTCCATCACACGGTGTCTCTGCTGCTCCTTCCTCTTCACGGGGAGGACTCCTCACACTCTTTCCCTGCTCCAGTGTGGGATCCTCCAGGAACTTCTCCAGCCTGAGCCCTTCCGTCCAGCACGGGTCCCTTTCCACAGGGTGCAGTCCTTCTCCAGAGTGGGCTCCTCTCTCCACAGCTCCCTCCCAGGTCTCTGCTCCAGCCCAGGCTTCCCACGGGGTCACAGCCTCCCTCAGGCATCCACCTGCTCCAGTGTGGGCTCCTCCATGGGCTGCAGGTGGAATCTCTTCTCACAGAAGTCACCCCTGTAGTCCACCCCATAACCAAATCCTTGCCACACAAACCTAATACACTCCTTTAACTCCAGCTTCTCATTACATTTTCTACAGCTCCCTAAAAGCAGTTATCTCCCAAATGACCACTGGTAGAATGATATCAACAGGTTGATTTAATAACAATGTTAATAGCTTGTTGTGTCTGGCCTGGAGGAGAGATTTGAGATATATAAACATGTCTGAAAAACAAAGGGATCCCTTCCAACACACACACCTCATGCTGAGCTTCCAAAATATTTAGGAAGAGAAAACTCAAGTGACTTCTCCTTCACCAGCACGTGGAAGGGCCCTTCATAGGATGGTGTATTCCCTCACTACACTGTGCACATCAACACCAGCAACATCAGCATAGAGTTCAGGCACCACTGGCTCAGGCACCTGCAGAACTGTGTGGCCATTGCTGCTCTTCAGAGCTGTTTTCAGGGACCAGAGGAGCTGTGCTGGAGAAGGCCTGTTAGCTGCATCCCACTGCCAGCAGGACTTCATGATGGTGTACCTGTAAGATGGAGAAGCAGGGAAAACACTGGGAATGAGAAGCAACCAACATCAAGTTTTACCACAGTCAAGTCATCTCACATTTAAAACGTCCACAGAGCTCCCCCTTTTCCTCCTCCATGTGAAGTTCTTTCAGTGACCCTTCTCCTCCTGCCAAATCCTTAGTTTGAATGGGTTCTTTATTCATGAATATCAGTGATTCACCAGATTCAGCTTCTCACACCATAGAGAGTCACATCTGTACTAAGATTTTCATAGGCAGCCACATAATAATGCATGGGTGTGCAGTTGTTTGCCAGATGTCTACTGGGATTGTGGGAAATGGGAAGAATATCGTCTGGCATCCCCTTTTGAAACAGCATGATGGATGAAAAAAACTCTGAATATTAAAAGAAATTATGTCTTTGCACAAGGAAATGTGCTTAGATCTTTCCTGTGGATGCTGTGCTCATTTCAGGGAATATCCCACCACTTAGAGGAGAAAGATTACTCCAGAGTAGTCCTGCACCTTGCAAGGAAGCAGTGGAGCAACAAAATGCAAAGAACAAGTATAATTTTCACAAGAAGGAAGCAGAAACAAGTGGGATTCTCAAAAGAAGGAAACAAAAACAAGTGTCATTTTCAAAAGAAGAAAAGAAAGGTTTTGGCCATCAAGGGTTTCATGCAGCAGAACCCAGTGAGGAGATGTGGCAGATGTGAGAAAAAGTCTCAGCTTAGTCCAGACTTAGAGATTTGGGGTAAGATCTGGTCTTCCATGTCTCACTTCCATTTAGCTCTGCAGATCTCCTGTTCAATCACCCACAAAGCAAGGGGCTTACATGGCTTGCTGGCAGAGTGAGGGCTGCTTCATGATGTTCTGTCTCTGCAGGTGTGATAAGATGTCAGGAGGTGGCACCTCAGGATACGGTGGAGCACCTGGAAGGACAAAAGGAGTAACAGTAGAACAACTCAGTGGCAATGGCTGCAGATAACAGCTGCTGTGCAAGCTCCTGTGCAACAGAAGGATCATGTCATCTGGATAATATGACCTCAGAAGAAAGGCTGAAAGAAACTGCAGCTATTTAAGCTTAACAAGCCAAGATGAGAGATTGAGATATTTGATTTCAAGTATAGGGGGAATATTCCACAAGGAGGATGGCAAAACAACAGTCTTCCATGTTCATGATGAGTGAAACACATAAACAACAAGTTAAACTTCACCAGAAAAAAAAAAATTCTAGTTCATACAATAGAAAAAATTTCTTGTCAGGGGAATGAAGTACTAGAATAGAATATTTCACCTGTTCTGAAAGACTTCTAAGAGAAAACAGAAGGTAAAGTGACACAGCATAGCTGATCCCATTAAGGGGCAGATGGCTGGATGAACTCAATGTGTTCTGGCCTCTCACAGCCTGTTTTCCTCTGATAAGAAAACATTTTCCTCTTATAAATAACATGTAGAGAAACTTCCTTTGTTGAAAGTGAAATGTTTTGGAGGAATGTGCTGCCTTGGGTAAGTCTGTTGGGATTTTGACTTACATGATTTTGAACTGACTTTTTCAGTTATTGTTCTGAAACAACAACTTCGATATGGAAAATGAAAATCCAGCAAATGAAAATCCCTTCCCTACCAAGATCCAGGGTTTTTTCCCTATCACAATTCACACTGACAGAAAGCCTGAAAGGAATTGTCAAGACTTTGCAAGTTGGAAAAAAAACAGGGTGCTTATTTAAGTGGCCCAACCTTACAAGCTGAAATTTGAGATTTTGGGTTCTTGTTAATTTGCTGCTTCCTTAAATTATTTTTTTTTTTAATTATCACAAAATCTCCTTACCTAATGTAATCATTTCATACAGTAGAATTCCAAAAGACCACCTGCAAGGGAAGAAAACAAAGCAATGTGGAGCATTATGCTGTGACTGGATACGCCTTTGGGACATGAAAATGATACATAAAGGAGTGAAAGAGGCAGGTCTGACAGACTTCTAGTCCAAAAATTAATCCCTACACGTCTGCCTTGATGCTGGGGGGCTTCCTCAGGAGCCTCTCTGGGGCCTGCCACTTGACTGGCACACCCCGTGTGACCGAGGTGGCACCACGAGCGTGGGTTTCATAGGCCAGACCCAAACCACAGAGCTTGGCAGAGAAGTTGGGATGGAGGAGGACATTCCTGGCAGCAATATCACCATGGAACAGCTTCTTCTCTTCAAGGTAAGCCTGGGAAGTTGGAAAAGAAAGAAAACCATGATCATTTTCAAAGGAAATTTAGTTGATATAAATTTTCACTCAGTTCAAGCTTGTCTTCCACGCTGTGGAGTGAGAGGGACATACTCACCAACATCATGCAAGCACAGTGGGCTCTGTTTTAACAAAGCACACATCCTCAGTGCTTAGGCCAAGAAGACTTAGGCCACTGTGAAGATTTGTGTTGCAATCAAGCAAGAAGGAAAAAAAATGCAGTAAATGGGAGCAGACTTACCAGGGCTGCTGCAACCTGCTGTCCAACTTCATAAACTTGCCTCTCAGTGAGGTCATAGGGGATCCCATCCATTGCCATTACATCCTAGAGACAAATTTGTTTGGTTCCAACAAGTGACATAGCAGTAGGATAGTGGGGAATGCTTCCTTCTCATCTCATAAAACGAGTACTATCTAATCTTATGCTCCCCACATGTAATTTCACAGTTGGTCATAAATTGACTGAAATGCAGAATCCCAGAATGTGCTGAGTTGGAAGGGATCCCTCAGGATCACCAAGTCCAATCCTGGCCCTGCACAGGACACCCCAGCAATGCCTGAGAGCATTGTCCAAACATCTCTTGAACTTAGACAGCCTTGGTGCTGTGCCCACTGCCCTGGGGAGCCTGTTCAGTGCCCAACCACCCTCTGTGTGAAAAACTGTTCCTGATATCCAATCTAAACCTCCCCTGATATCTGGGTTGTTTTTTTCAGCTTGAGTTAACATTTCCAATGGGCTGCATATTTTCATACTATCAGATCTCATACTTTCAGATTTTCATTCCTCATCAACAATGGGCAGATATGGAGCCATCATTTACATATGTGAAACTAAGATTGCTTTTCCACCTGTGCATCATTTCATTTTTAGCCATGCTGAATTTCATTTGTTCTTTTTATTGGCCAGTCTCTCAATCTGGGAATATCCTTCTGCAATTCCTCTGGGTCAGCCTTTACTGGCTGGAATCATCAGCAACCATCATCACCTCACTGTCATCCCATTTTCTAGGTTATTAATACATGCAACAATCAGCACCAGGTCCTAGACAGTTGAGCTCCCTCCAGTGAAAGTACCAACCTTTCACTCTTATATTCTACTTCTTGCCTTTTAACCAATTAGTTATTATTTAATGACCTTCTCCCTGGTGTTGTAACTGCTCTGTTTCCTTAAAAGCATTTGGAGTGGGACATTGTTTCAAACTTTGCAAGTTCAGGCACCTGTATCAATTCTCACTCTAATTCCAGTGCCTGCTCTACCCTTCAAGGAGGTCCAATGGTCTGCAAAGCTGGACTTGGCTTTACAAAACTGTGTCAACTTCTCCAAACTACAGAATATCAATGGAGGAACCCTCAAATTCTATTCTAGTTTAGACCTGTGTGGAACTTCTCTGGGGGATGGAAATAGTTTGGACTGATAGAGAGGGATGCATGGAGAGATGACAAGAATCATCTCTGACTTATGGGCTATGACTTAGGGATAAATATGCACCTAAGGAATTTAAGAAGCTGTTCTGTCATCACTTCTTTTGACTCACCTTCCGACATGTCCACAGAAACGTCAGCAGGTCACCAAGAGACACGTCTTCCATGATCATATAAAGTGGGAGTTTGTCTACACAACATCCAACCAGCTCAACCAGGTTCTCATGATGGCCAAGATCTTGATGGAATTTAATCCTCCCCAGGAAATCCTTTACTTCCTGGGGACTGCCTAGGCCTGAAAGAACAGAAACAAACAAACAGAACAAATGAAAAGTACAACAAACAAACCAAACCCACACACAGAAACCAAACAACAATGAAAACAAACAGCAGCAGCAAAGAACAGGGTGAGTAGCTTAAAATCAAGATGGTCACGAATCTTTAATCCTACCAAGACATTCCAATAAAAACACCATTCTGACTGGCTGACGTGATACTGAACAGAGCTTGTTCTTGCCCAGTAGTGATGGCAAAGTTCTGCCCAGCATCAGAGATCTGTCCCAGGGGGATCCTGACCACGTGCCTCACCTTGTAAGGCTTTCAGCACCACAGTCCTAGTCTTCCCAGAGCTCCCAGTTTCCAGCTGTGCTCTGTAGATGCTCCCACGGCCACTGTGTTTTATCAGCTGGAAGGTGCCCGGCAGGAGTTTCTCTCGTGGTATCTGCAGTTCCTTCAGAGTCAGGGATGCAGATTTTAGCAGGCTCTCCACGGATGTCTCACTCAGCTGCATGCAGCCATTCTCTGCTGAGCAGAATTCCTGATGGTTCTTTGTCTTCACTGACAAAAGCAAATACAGATGATGCACAAAAACAGGAAGATGAACTCTTGCAAAAGGTGGCAATGCTCACCCTTCTATCCTCTTTAATTTTTGTTCCATAGAGTTTTGGAAATCAGGACAAAGTAAGGAACTGTTATTGTACCTTACTTACCCTGGCGTCTGAAAAGGAGAAAGAATTTATCTCCCACTCTATTTGATGAAAGGCAGAATTAGTCTGGAAATTTCTTCTATATTTAACTACATAAACTTTCTAGATCAGACACATTTGTACTTCATTCCTCTGTGCTCAAGCAATGACCCTTTTCTTTTATTACCAGCTCTGAGAGGGACATGCACAGGGTGTTCCCACAAAGGCCTTATCTTTATTCTCAATTATTTCCCTTAATATGGGCTTAAGAGGCCTCTACATACCCAAAATCAGTTCAAAACTGTATATTCATTTCCACACAGCAACACTTTGTACCAACAAAGCTTTCCTTACCCCCTCAAGAGTTCATATTGTCTCCATAAGAAGTGGGAGAAAGCAGCTTGAAATTGCATTTTTTAAATGACAGCACGGAAAATGGATTAACTAGGTGTGATCTACATCAAAATTACTGCCATTGGTAATTAATTATGTAAAACCCTCCTTGCAGTAGCCTCTAGAAGGCTGTTAATAAATACACCTCCCAGCTCTCACGTGTATGTTAAACAGCCTATATGACATGGTGCTTTAGATTTTCTCAGATCCATCTACACTGCTGCCATCCATACTCTGGTTCAACCAACCTCTGGTTGAAAGCTCTGGTTTTTACCTTGGGTTCCAGATGGTGGGGGGGGTTGCTCCTGCTTTGCTCTCAAGCCTCGACAGTGGAGCCAAAGGATCACAGTGAGCACGATGACAAAAGACCCCACAAGGAGAACTGGGACAACGATCACTTCAGGTTGATATTCACGCACAACTGCCAGCAGGGAAAGCAAGTGGAAAGCCAAGGAATAAGTGGTGACAATCCATCTCAGTAACTTTCAACCCCAAGAGCACGTGTTCCAACCTCTGCTCCTTGGAAGAGCAGCTGGACACTGTTAGTGCTGCCACCCCCTTGTTCAAAACTGCCTGGAATCCCTTATTTAGATGCCTGAATGGAATTGTAGCCATTTGTGAGCACCATCCACCACTGAAAGAGAACCAGCACTGGCAGAGGGATAGCAGGGAGTGGGAAGGGCTGGACATTGCTAAGCCATCACAAATACACATGCAACTCCAGCTCCAGCTCCTTCCATTAAAATTACATGGAGCATTTTAAAGGAAACAGGGTGTGGGCACCTGCTTTGGGGTTTGACTGGAAGACATTGCAGTTAACAAGGCTTGTGAAGGGAACTATCTTAGGTCCCCAGATTTTGAGGTGGTGCTATTTTTGCACAGGCCAAGACCATATTTCAGTTCCCAAAGAAAGTCATGAAATCAAAATCTCCCAAAACTGACCCTTTGGGAAACTGCAGGGAACCTTTAATGACTATTGCATGTCTAATTCAAATTAGAAATTCTAAAATGGCCAAAATTATGTGAGATGAATCCTGCCACAAAGGCTGCACCCCCATAAAAGTTTCTCCCCTGAGACACAATGAAAGCTCAATCCCAGCTTTCTGTGTGGGCTGGGATGCAGGTGGAGGAGGGGAAAGGGCTTGGTCCACTTTTTAGCAAAGGTGGACTCCCTGCTCAGCATGTGAAAGCTTTGCTATTATAAAGGTTAATAAGCTTTATTATTAAACTATTAATAAGCTTTATTATTACAAAGGAATCTGGGAATCTTACCACACAGCTTGTCATTGCTGCTGCATTCCAGGAGCATTCGTGTGAACCTCTTCACATCCCCTGCCATGTTCAGCTACAAGCAAGGAGGTCTCCAACCTCTGCCTTCTGCACAGAGACAAGGAATAATAACAAAATTTATTAGGAGAAAGGATGATTATGAAGCAACAAATGAACTGAATATGCAGCTTTCTACCCCTTCACTAATTATAATAATCTTCACTGAGCACTGAAGCTGTGATAGGGACAGTCTGTGTGGTGCTACACTGACCATCAGAGGACCTGGACTACTATTTCTAAATTGCAAAAAGGAGTGTAGTGAATAGTTTGATGACTGGCAGAAAGGCAAGGCATGTTCAAATAGTCACTGCTGCTTATAAACGCTGCCAAAAATTTAAGACATAACAGCTTCACACACAGTATCCTCCAGAACATTTCACAGGCATTGTGACTTATCCTGCAAGCAATTATTTTGGGCTATGAGTTTAAGGCAATTAACCTCAATGGCAAATGTTAATGACAATATATGGCATTGGTTTTATGGAATTCGGTGATGGAACATTAAACGGAGTTTGTTCTCATGCTTAAAATTAACGAGTGAAATTATGCTGTATCAGTTGCAGAACAGAGGCAGTGGACAGAGGAAAATGGAATATATCTGTGCTTTAAGGTATCACAAAAAGTCTCTTTCCTTTTTTTATTTAATTGGATTGGATTGATATGCCAGCAAATTCACCTGGTTCCAACCTATAACATATACCCACACTTACATACAAATTCTTTCACTCTCACATACACAGAGACAAGAAAGACACATCTGAACAGACACAGAGAAATAGACTTTAGGACCATTAACCAGCAATCAATGTATAATTTGAGTCATAAACAGTCCAAGCTCCAAGTTTGATTAGAGAAGCCCATTTCCACTCCATGTGTCCCATCATTTTGTAAAGCTCAGGAAGCAGGAACAGAACTTGTTCTCAATAAGATAATTCTGAGGTGCCTTTCAGTGCTGCTTTTCAGGCTGAGACTAAATGAATTCTCACACTTGGGCTTTTTCTGCAGCTTACTGGTCTAACAGTAACATTACTGCAGTTCTTACATTCCTATCCTCACAACAAGAATTGTAACTCAGAAATCCAATTGTAGCTCAGAAATCCACAGAACTCCCATTATACATTTAATACCTTTTGCAGTGTACCAGTGGGGGACACATGAAAGTTATGTGGAACTAACACATGGCAGGAAACACATCGACAGTGCTCAGTTACTTATTTTATTATAAGAAGACAGTTTGTCAGCGCCAAGCCAGGATAAAGGGGACAAAAACACCTCAAAAGGTTCAAATTCAGACTTTGCATTAGAGAACTGGTGCAATTGCAAGTAAGAGCCAGCTGGTTCCACTGGGGTTTTTTAGTACTCTTTTACCTACACTGAATTCCACTCCCTGGACTTCACAGCATCACAGAATCATTAAGGTTGGAAATGACCTCTCAGATCAGCAAGTCCAACAGCCAAGCCAGCACCACCACCATGTTCACCATGAAACCACGTCCTCAAGTGCCACAGCACATGTGGGTTTGAACATTTCCAGTGGTGGGGGCTGCTTACACCAGTTCAGGAAGCCCAAACATTGAAGGTGAATGCAGCTGAGCTGAACTAAGTGCTCAGCGATGCCAAAAGAAGGGATTACCTCTTCCCTTTGCTTTCTTCTCACTCCTTGTTTTGCTCCCAGCTGTGCAACTGATAACATGGTAGACTGATCCAAACCACTAACCCAGCAGGAAAAATTCACTGTTTCTTTTGCCATGGTGGTTTCCTGCCCTTTTAGTGGTGGTGAATGGCTAATTCATCTGAAGCTGCACTGTGAGACCATTCCCACACAGATCCACAGGCACTGTGTGCCAGCATAACCCTTACTATGATTTATAGAGCCCCCTGGTATTCATTCCCACATGTAAACTGTCCCCTTAGCACTGGCAGAAGCATTCACTGGATCAGGAAGGTGATCTGCCCTAAAATAATCTATTTTCTCTCACATTTTATGGCCTTAAAGTTTTCATCAGGCTCAGTTTATGCGATTTAAAGTGCCAGGACTAAGATTTAAGAAGCCTGAGTGACAAATACTGTGGTGAAGACTGAAAAGAAATAGAAATATCAAGTCTTCCATGTCCATGGAATATGGGGGAACAGACAGCTGGAATGCTGCACACGCAGAAACTGCCTCCTGCTTGCTCCTGCCATGCTCAGGAAAATAAGCTGTACATAATCACAGTAAGTAAGACAGCTTTGCCACTGAACATGTCTGACCTGTGAACTAACAGCAGTTCCCACCATCAGTGCAAATGTGTAAATCCTTGTGCAATGATTAGCTACTCTGTCCAAAGAAACAGCTGGCTAATCTAATATGACAAAAATAAAGGCCAAGACTCATTTGGATCTTCATTTAAAATGTGCTAGAGCTGACATGGACTTAATGCAGTTATTTCTCCAGACTTCTTATCCCACATTAACTGCACACCACTTTATTATAAAAGTATTCTTACGCTTGTTCTCCATGCACTAATTGTGAGGACCAACTGGAATATAACTAAGGAACAGCTGAGCAGTTCCCCACTTCAGTCCAGCATATTGCCTGACAGATAAAACACAAAATAAATCCTTTAACCATGATGCTTTTTACTTAATTTCTTGCAGTGGCAGAACCTTACTCCCAAGCTTTTTTCCAGTCACCATTTATTATTTTATTTTATTTTCCTCCTCTTTTACCTGACCTTTGAACATGGGCACCAGTCAAGGCTCAGGCAACTGCTCTGCACGAGTGCAGTGTCCTCCTGGCTGAAAGGGAATTCCAGGAGCCACCATGTGTGGGTTCAGGACAGCCCAGCAGCTGTGGACACTGAAAGGGAGAGAAGAGGGAGAAGAAAAGCGCCATGGAGAAGCAAACAGAGTGAAACAGAAGTTTCTCCCCTTGCCATGTCCCTCTTTTACTAAAAGCAGCATCCAAAGCAAATAAAAAACAAGTCTGACAGGTTTCAAGACCAACAGCTTGATACAAAAAGCTGTGCATTTGTTAGACCACATATTCTGTCTCTTCGGCCTTCAGAAGACCTGAGGGACTGTTTCCAACAGCCTGGCAGATCCTGAGACCTTTGCAAGGTTTCCCTGGCCCATGGAGCCATCTCATCTCTCACTGCAAGGCACCTGGGGGTTACCAAGCAGCACCTTCAACCGTGTTGGGGAAATGGGGAAAAAAACGGGAAATTCTGACCAGTCAGCCCAGATTATAACACACCAGAGTCACCTCTGTCCTTGTGACCAAGGATTACAAAAATGTGGCTGGCTGTACTGGTTGTACCACTCAACTACAAAGGTTTAGTTGTATAACTCCCTTTTGAAACAGCTGGGAGCTGTAACACCCTGTAAGAAAACAAAGTGTTTCAAAAATCACCTACAGTGACAAAAGGTTTTCTCTTGGTCCAAAATTAGAGGCAGTACTTGAACATAAAACCCAAGCCAGCTGCTACTGAAGAAGCCCAGCAAGGGAGTGAAAGAAAATTAGGCTGACCACTTCTGAAGAGCCAGACCATGGAGAAAACAGCAAACAATGAGGTCCATGCTGCTATTGGAGCAGGTGGATTACTTAGGGCCAACTTGGCTCCTTTTCAGTACAGCAGAAAAACTCAGATCATCCCACAAAAATTAATTTATTTGTGCCTTGTAAGGAATTCTAAGTACAGAAATGGTACAGAACCTGAATGGTGATTAAGACAAAAATATTTTTTCCTAATGCAGACACGGCCTATTATGGTTTCTGAAAAATTAACGTGTATCTTAATTACACTGCCCCTGAATTAAGACCACAAAAAGTAATTGCTCAAAGGTAATCTGCAAAATAAGTTAAAATAATAATAATTAAAAAAAAAAAAAGTTGAGGAATACATTAACCTGAAGCCCTTAGAGTCTGGGATTGAAAAGCCTAGAGGCTAAACTCCCAACAGCACAGCTTTACCTATGACTTCCTTTCGTGAAGTCAAAATCATACATTACATTTGAAAATGTCTCCTTACAGACTGAACTCTGATTTTGCTGGGAGCTGCTGGTACTAAGCCTGTACCAAACCCTAACACAAACTCAATACAGATATTCTGAATAACTGTGACAGCAAAAGCTGTGACAGAATACAATAATAAAGGAGTTTTTTCCGAAGGATCATGCATGCACGTAGCTCTTGTTGTAAAAAACCTGCCGTGTGATAAAAATATTGCATAACATCACATTGCTGCTTGATGGCTTAAGAAATGGAAGATTAATCTGCTCTCATAAATTCACAGCCACCTGAAGCTGTGTACACAACTTTAGCTTCACAGTTTCCCAAGTTTTGGATGTTTCTGGGTGGATTTAACATGGATTTTGTTTATAATTTAATTTTTGCTCATGCAAACAGGTAAACATAGGAAAATGTACAGATATCTGCACCACTTTGGATCAGAGTTCACTGCCTCACAGTCAAGCAGCAGTGATGGAAGTAAAATGCTAATTAGTTCTGAATTCAGCCCTAGGCATGTATTACTCAACCAAACACTGAACATATTTATCCACACATGCATAGCATCACCCTGCACCGTTTCAGTGAACTGAGACTAATTTTATGTGAAACTTAATTACTTTGTTAATTTCTTCCCGTTTAAAAAGTGCCCATAAGCTATTTTGTTCAAATCAACCTGCGTGTAGAGGACACACCTCTCTTATTTTTTTCCTCAAACCCCAATACCATCATGATAACAGAAATTTATAAGTAACTTCAATACAAGGAGCAAGCACATATATATACAGATATACACACATATATATAGTATACACATATATCCACAGACATCTAGACTTCATAGTACAGCTATATTCTAATTCAGGTCACATTCACGTTACTAAAAGCCTTTTTAAAAAATAAATAGTCATTAACTGCTCCTCCAGAAGTGTTTTCTCTCACTCACCTGGATTGCACCACTTCTCCTGCCCCGCAGTAGTCTTTTCCTGCTGCTGGTTCCCAGTTCGTTTGAGGCCACTCCTAACAAAGCTGATGATTACCTTGGTGTGGTTGTAATTCTTATGACTAAGTTCCTCCTTCACTGATTTTTCTGCCCCAGACCCGCCCAGCTTCAGTTCTTTTCTTCCCAAGGTCTTCTCAGCTGTCTCCCCAGGGATGTCCAACACACAGCTGACAGGCAGGGTCACACTTGCCAAACGGGTCTGCCTGCTCCTGCAGCGGGTACAGAGACAGGCAGAGTCCTCAGGCACCGGCTTGGAGTGTGACTGGAAAGGCAGACAAACACAGGTGAAGAGGGAGAGGTTTATTACATTATTATTTAAGGTAATAAAAAGAAATTGGTGCTTCCAGTCACAGGTTCACATTCAGAAAAATTGGGTTCTTGGAACAGAAAATCCACATAAAACCCCTAAGACTCTACGTGCTGAAAAAGCATCAGTGACACAATCTGCAAGTGAAGAAAGAGATAAAAAGGTTAATAATATCAAAACGTGCTACAAGAGGCAGCAGGAACGCTGGCTTTTCTCACATTCTGCCTTGTCCCTTGGTACCCCTCCTGCTCAGGCTGGCCAGGGATTCTGCCAGCATTTTCCAGCCCTGCCGTCAGCTCTGCCCTGCCCTTTCCTCACACCATCCTGAGCTCCCAGACCAGACCAGACAATATTCCTGAACTTGCCCTCTGACTTTTTCCTGCCATGATGCCCTTGGGGTCTGTTGTGCTGTGCTGGTGCCCTCAGCAGCCGTGGGGTGTGATCTTCTCAGCATTTTAGTGCTGGGGACTTTCTTCTGCACGTCCCAGCTCTTGGCCTGCCCTCCCCTGTCACTGATGAATCCTGTGTGAGGAGTTCCAGATCCCTGAGTCCTGGTTATATGAGTCTACACAAGATTATTTGCTTGCCTACTCCAGGCAGTTGTATTAAAAGAGTAAACAACTGTTGAGAGACAAAGTTCATGTCAAAGTCAACAGCAGGATGCAGGTGGCTTTGGGAAGAGGTAGAAGTTGATATGATCTCTGCCAACTGCTTCAGCAAAACTCATCTACTCCTGTTAACACTGGGGCTGCATATATATATATATGTTGTTGTGGGAAAATCTGAGTTGTGGCAGAGTCAATAGCTTTAGATACCAAAAGACAATAGCTAATTTATCCATAAGAGAGACTGCAGATGAATATATTTGTACACCAGTACATCCTAAACTTCCCTCTGGCATTATTCCTCCAGCTGGCATTCACTACCCACGTGTGCAAAATGGTGAAAACCAGGAGTAGTTTCTTCACTGCTTGATCTGTCTACAGAAGTGGGCAAAATAGTATTAGTGAAACAGTCCTGTGATGTGGACTTCCATCCCCTGAGAAACCAGGAACGACACCTTCTAGACTGAAAATCTTCTTGAGTTCAAAACATCACTGCAGCTGCACAGTGTAGGCTCAGACTCTGGTTTCAGCATTCCTCTCATTCTGGCACTAACTTGCATTGACTCTCTGCAGTATTTTCTCCATGAGGGAGCAGGGGATCTGTCTTATTCTCCATCAAAAAGTGGCTAAAACACAAAGGACAGTTCCTCATTTAAATGAGTTCTTTACTGAAATACGTTCCACAGGCATCTTCCCCTGGGGCACTTGGAAAAACTTATCCAGATCCCTGTTTAAAAACACAATAAATGAAAATCTTCCTCCTTCTTTCAGTTTCTACCCCTCCCCACTGTGGAAGACAGTGTGGGAAGGCAAAGGGTTAATATTCAGGTAAGCATGTGCAAAGCAGCAATCGCTGCTGCTTTTAATTCCCCCCATCGATCTCTCTGCTGTGCTCCCAGTCTGACTGGTTGGATAAGAGATTTTAATGAGTTTAAGATTATACAGTGCAGAGTTCAGGCCTCGGAATTATATAATCTTCCTCGCTCATCCACAAGCCTCTCCCCTTGTTCAGTGAAGTGACAGAAGTCATTTACTGTGCTGTGAAAAACAAACTTTTCCTGCTGTGGCTTGTATTGCCTGTGCATCCACAAAGAACACACTGCCTGTTTATCTGCCTCTGTCCTGCTCTCTGCTTTTTCCTTGGACAATTATGATTAAATGCACTGAAAGGCAGTAGACTGACAGCTCTATTAACATATCCATCCTCATTATCTCCAAGACAGCTATAGCACACCTAGAAACCATCCACACACAGACGGGGTTCTGGGACCAAGCAGCAATTCAACCACAAACCATCCAGTCTTTGTCCTGTGTGAGGGACAGTTAATTAAAATTAGCACAGGGGTGCTAATTTTGCAGTTCAGCTTCCAGAACTAAGCATGCTCCAAGTAACTGCTGCTGAACTAGAAAGAAAACAAACTTCAGGTGAAAGGATCCCCTTGTTAAATGTCATTGTGGTGTTCACTTTCACTTTAGTAATTTAGAGGCTGTGAGGTCTCTGACTTACTTTCACGCTCTAATGTAAGACTTAAAACCGTGGCTTAAACCTGATGGACTGGGACTGATCTTTTGGTCAACCTAAGCCCACAGAGGGGTAGAATCCCAGAAGATAAGGAGCTTTCTCTTTTTCTTTCTTTCTTTCTTTCTTTCTTCTTCTTTCTTTCTTTCTTTTCTTTCTCTCTTTTCTTTTTTCTTTCTTTCCTTTTTCTTTTTTTCTTTTTCTCTTTCTTGCTTTTTCTTTCTTTTCTTTCCTTCCTTTCTTTCTCTCTCTCTCTTTCTCTCTCTCTCTTCCTCTCTCTCTCTTCCTCTTTAATTCATCTCTTTCTTTCTCTCTTCCTTTTTATCTTACCCCTTCATCCAAACCACACTGCCATGTGCTTATATAGTATGTCAGGGACTCACATACCAATTTCCAAGCCAAGTGTGTAATTTACTAATAAAATTTAGTGAGGTTTTTTGTGGACCCTCTGACTTTTGTCGTTCCTTTTGACCACAGGCATTTACAAACCTTGGGTGCTCCCTTAAAGGTGGGACATCACAAGAGGTTGAAAGGCTCAGTAGCTTTTTGTTTCTGCAAGCCAGCTATTAATGCCTGACTGGGGTAAGAATCAGAATGAATGATCTAAAAGTGAAAACAAAAAAACCTTCCCATCATCATTCCAAGTCTCTGTTCTGCCTCATGAGCTTTGCCTCTCAAGATAGCAGGTCTTCTTAATTGAGAAAAATTAATTAGCCTATTTAATGTCTAAATTTTTTTTATCTTGAAAATGGCAATTTAGTGTGATTTTCAGTTCATCCCTGCAGTTGTTATTTAACATTTCCAAAGGAGTAAAGCCTAGGAAGGGGTAGGAATTATATGAAAAGAAATAAAGAAAAAAATAGCTTCTCCATATAAAACTGAAATGACTGAATGATTATGCATCAATTTTCATCAGCCAGGTGAAGGCTCAGTAGTTTGCCAGCACTTCCTCTCTATTCAGGGGTTTGGCACTTTTTTCTTTCTGTTAAATATATAAATTTTCCTCTTAAGTTGCTTCTCTTCACCACCACATTTTCACACTGTTCATGTTTTTCAGTGATAACCCAACAGCTCCTCCTGGCAAAACCTGACCTCTAATGACCTAAACACCCAGTACCTGTGCCTCAGACAGCTGGCAGTGAGAGTGTCTGGGGAAATAAAAGACTATAACAACATAACAAGGATTTTACTCTACTGATTTTGAACCCCAGCAAAACTTTAGCAACAAAATGCTCATAAATTATACAGCGTTCATGTAACTTGGGGGAATAAATACTTCATTTTGTTTATTTTGAAGGTGAGTTGTCACCAGTTGGCAGCGAACTGAGTGGTGATTGCAAGAGATGAGCAAGTTTGCTGCATGATGAGAATACTAATATATCAAATAATTTAAAAACAGGACAGAGTTTGCGTTGGTGGATGAAAAAGGAGAACAAGAGACAGCCCAAACCATTTAAGGTTTGGATATTGATCTGGAATGGGACGTGATTTGGGGCATGGACAATTCAGGGAAGGTAATTCCTAATATCAGCAAACTCTTCTCAAACTTTGAGTCTTGTTGCACATTCTCCAGAAAATTTCTAACTTGATTTTGCCTAGTCCTGCAAACACCTTCTCCAATATTTTTTTTTTATAAAGGCAAAGATAACAGAATCGTAGAACAGTTTGGGAGGGGGTCTTCAAAGACCATCCAGCTCCAACCCCTCTGCCGTGGGCAGGGACAACTTCCACTATCCCAGGTTGCTCAGAGCTCCATCCGGCCTGACCCTGAACCCTTCCAGGGATGGGGCAGCCACAACTTCCCTGGGCAACCTGTGCCAGGGCCTCCCCATCCCCATTGTAAAGCACTTCTTGCTTACATCTCATCTAAACCAACTCTCTTCTGCTGTAAAGCTGTCTGTCCTTGTCCTGTCACTGCAGGCCCCGAAGTCTCTCTCCATCATGCTGGCAGGGAGATAATGTTACCAAAAATCCTCGGGAAGAAACGAAACTCTCCAACACTACCTTTTAACTGTTAGTGAGCCAGGCATTACTTGATTCTGGCCAAAGACATGCAGCGAATCATTCCAGCCACGTGTGTCCCTTTGAAGACTTTTCACGTGTTTATACACTTTAGCAAACAAAGAAATTGATGTTTATTGTTTCTAAGTTACACAGTTCTCTTCATTTGATTAGTATTCTATCCTTTCTTGGCTAATTTGGTCTGCATTCTTTGGTCCTTTTATCTTCCTCAGACTGTAATGTCTTTGTTAATCAATCCCCTCTGCATCTTCTGGTTGCTCCAACATGGACCATAAATTTAAGATCCCAGATGTCCAGCCCTCAACTCCCTCAAGCTTTATGTATTGAAGCTCATCAGAGCCAGTCCAGAGAAACTCAAAAGGTTCGGTTGTTCTAAAGATCACACCAACAGGAGCCTGTGGAAAAGAAACCCAGCCACCCGCTACCATTAGCTAAACATTTAAGAAAATACTTAGGAAAGTTATGTCATTTCCAACAGGGCATCCACAGCTCCTCGCGGCAATCTGTTCCAGTGCCTCACCACCCTCACTGTGAAGTATTTATTATTATCTAACCTAAACAGACCCTAAAACTGCTGCTCCCTGTGCTGCCACTGCAGCCCCCGCTCTGAAGCCTCTCCCCATCACGCAGGCGGGGAGGTGAAGACTCCCTGAGAGAAGAAGCAGGAGAACAGCTTGCAAACTTTAAAGGGACAAGACGCAACTTCTCGGTTGCTTTCAGGAAAAACCCCTGAAACCGCAACCAAGGGTCGCCGCGGCTTCGCTGCCCGGCCGTGCCGCGGGGCCGGCGGCGATGTGGGGCGGCTGAGGGGCCGTGACGCGGCTCGGAGCCGGCTGCGCTGCAAGGGGGGCTGGCGGGGCATCGAGCTGGCACACGGAGCCGCGACACGGAGCCGGGACACGGTCCGGGCATGGAGCCGGGACACGGCCCGGGCACGGAGCCGGGACACGGCCCGGGCACGGAGCCGCGGAACGCCGCACCGCCCTCCCTTCCCCTCCGCGGGCCGCCCGCCTCCTCACCCTGTGCTCGTGAAACACAGAATCAGGCGCGCGCGGCCGCCGACAGCGCCGGACGGGCCGGGCTGATGGGTGGGTTGTTCGTGTCCCGTCACCGCCCGCTCCGGTCCCCGCCCCGGGTGAGGCGGGGAGGCCGCGGCTCCGCCCGGGCCCGTGAGGGGGGCAGTGACCGGGGTGGGCCGGGCTCGTCCCCGGCCTCGCCGGGCGGTCAAAGCGTGCCTGGAGAGTGCGGTAAAGGCAGGGGGTTGTGGTTTGTAAGCTCTCTGGCGTACAGGGCTCGCCGGCGCGCAGTTACGCCGTGGGAGTGGTTGTGTGAAGCGGCGCCCGAGCGCCCCAGCGTCTGTGAGGTTTGGCACCGCTTGAAAACGCTGTGGGGCCATTGCAAACAGTCCATTGCGTCCCTTCCACCTTTAGCGGCAATAAAAAAGCAGAAAACACACCCCACACACTGAGTTTCTGACAAAAACTGTGCCTGCTATGTGATGTATGTAGTTACTGCAGTGAACCTCTTCCATCTCCTCCGTCACGGTTCCATCCCATCCGTCGGTGGTTTTCAGAGAATTAAATTAAAGCCAATGCTTTGTGTCGCGTTGTCGGCTCTAAAACTACGTTTGTTTTTGCCCCGAGCGTTTTTACGTCCTGAAATTTCACTCCCTACAACTTAAAGGTCAGGAAATCGTAAGCACTTAAAGGCGGTGACAGAACTGAAGTGTATTTACTTACCTGGCTGGAGCCTGCAAGGGTGAAACACTGGTTAGAAATGGGGATTTTACAACTCACTGAAAATTAGGAATTGCCCCTGGCCAGAGTATCTGGGAGAGAAGCTTGAAGACAACTGTAACGGGGTGACAGAGGAAGTTTTCTAATGCAGTGTTTGACACAGTGATCCTTGTCATTACTGACACCAAAAATCTTTATTTGGCACAAACAACAGCATATTTGAGTATAATTCTTTCTACTTAAATTAATTTCAAAATGGATGGAAATAATATGCAGCATACAGGTGATGGTCAGTAACTTCAAGGTCAGATTCCTGCTGAATTCACATGTAAATTCAAAATCTATATGCTTTTTTTTTTTTTAATTTAGTGCAATGTTACTTTCAGCTGTGAAAATAACTCACTTTAGAGTAAAATAAAGTACAAAATTCCTGGTTTCCTTGTAGATGGCTGAAGCAGAAGCTCAGGAAGAAAACTGTGACAAATCAATAGAGATGATAGAGAAGTGCAACAAAGACTTAGAAACACTTCTGGAGGAAATGGAAAAAATAACAGGTACAGATCTTTATTAAGAATTATACAGATTTGTCTACTAGAGTGAAGACACTGAAGGTTTATTATTTATATTTATTCTGTAAACTTCCCTGTGGTAGAAATGTAAGTGGAAACAATCACCATCAACTAATGCCCTAATGTTCTTAATTGTGAAAAAGCATGTAAATAAAAGTTTCAGGTGGCTCAGAATTAAAAATCAATAGGTAATGGATGCTTAGTTAAAAACAGAAATACTACTAAGGTGTTTAATGTACAAGTATTAAAACTTAGTATGTAAAATGAGACTTAATTCTGAAAAACATTGGGATAGGTACATAGCACCTCTCAGGTTTAATTCCTCAGCTACAATAAAGACTCCTCTGCAAATTTAACCTTAGTCCTGTTTGTACAGAGAGGACTGCATATTGCTCCCCATGCTCTGCAACATTTCCATCAGAAACTGTGTGCTGCTAACAAGAACTGTTAATTAAACGTTTTGTAAGTAAACAATTCATGAGTGCCATTGCAAACTACAGTCACTTCTGGGTAAAACAAAAGGGCAAGTATGGCTTAAGTGCTAAAACTATTTGCTCACCTTTATCAGATATACTCATTATTTCAAAATCAATTTCGCTATTTAAGTTACTCATTATTTGAAGATCAAGATTTCATTGTTTAAGTTGTTATTAAAACCTTTTCTCTCGCTGTTGCAGTCTCTTTGATCTTAGTCTTCCTCACCTAACAGGAGCCTCCTGGCTGTAACTGGTCTGGAGAGAGGACTCCTTATAAAATATTCATGTATTTTAAACCAGTCTGTTGAACCTTCCTATTTGATTGCCTGTTTTGTTGTAATTTTTAAGTGAAGTGTGTATTAGTGAAATTATTTCATCATTTACATCTCTGTATTTCCGTCACGAAGCATTTTGAGACATTTATAAAGAAGTAATACTGACCAGCCTCCTTAACCTTGAGTATTACTACAGGCAGTTTCCACTTTATTTTGCAGCAAAGCCTTCCCTGACTGATAAATAATTCACATCCTTTTTTCGTTTATTGAATCAGCCACTGCTTTTTTTTAAGCGAAAATTCCTGGCTTAGTGATGTCTGTTGGGTTTGCAGTTCGTGCAGCCTGGATGACCTACGGCATCGTAACCATCCACACCAACCCAGACCTGGCCAGCTCCATGAAGCACCTGGAAGATGCCTTCCTGAGGTGCAAAGAACAGGTGGGGAGGAAGTGGCAAGAGGTGCTAAAGGAATCCAAAGGTGAAGAGGAATAAACTGAATTCTCTCGTGCTGGCAGAGCCTTGGGAGATCGCTCCGTTTATTTGCCAGCCACGGAGGTTTCACAGCCACTGTGGAAAAGGGATTGGCTTTCACCGTGCTAAGAACTTACAAGTAAACATCTAAGGAAGTATTTAATGAGATGACACAGATATATTTATATTATTGAAGGCAAAAGGTAACAGTGTGCTTATTTCTGTGAGGTCCATCAGTAACCCCTGCAGTGTTTGCACACACCACTCACACGCCTTCTGTGCCTTTCCTCCTGGAAGTTCACACTCGCTTCATCCTCAGTATAACCAGAATTCTCTGAGACCTGAGCACACTGTGGGTGGGGAGCAGGGCTGGTGTAGTGGACCATCCCCATGCCTTTCAAGGAAAACTGAGGAATTACTTACTTTTCCAAATGAAAAACAGGTGGCACTCTAGACTGAGTTAGTCGGATGTATGATTGCCATCCAGGTGTTCAGTTCCAGAGTTTCATTATTCAGGTAGCTCATCTGTAGGTGTTCCATTTTGTTTCACTGGATTTTTAACCATTTCTTTGAACTGGTTTTCCCAGAAAGATTGTTCTTCTCAAACCCTCTGAAGGGTAGCATGACTTAAATATTTAAGTAAAACGTTTTTACCATTATAGACTGCAGTCTGTGTAGTGGGATTGCTGCAGAAACCAAACCAAGTTATAAAACATGCTTTCCTCTATATATTCCTACTGTGCAAATATAAAAAAAGGACCAAAAAAAATTATTTTTTAAGTGGATTGAGAGCACCACCTCGTGGCTTGCAGTTGTACATAAATATTTTATCTGAGATGGAAGCCAGTGCAACAAGTTTTAAGGAGGATCTTCCTTTGCATTCAAATCTGTCTCTTTTAACTAGAAAGTAAGCACCATGTAGCAAGTATCTCCACCTCCCTTGAAGAGGTAACAATTGAAATCCCATCTAAATGATCTATCAAAAGTTTGCTTGATTTTTAGACTATGTATATTTTGAGATGGGTTGATCCCATTTCACACAGAATGTTTATCCACTGAAGTGAAAAATAAGTAATTCATTTTTTTTTTTAATGCTACCAAATATTTCTAGAGGTACAAATGGTAAGGAACAAATTTTGAACTCTGCTCTTGACTTTCCACATAGGTTTTCACTGCAACCAAAGGAAGGCAAACTGGCAGAGCAGCACAAGGAAACTCACACTTTGATTCATCTCTGGAGGGTTTTTAATGGCGTGTTGTCACTTTGGTACCTTTCACTACATTGCTTTCACTCCGTAATTCTGTATTAAGAAATTATCTCAGAAAGGCTCAAGAAGAATAGCTGTTTTAGCTTTTTGCATAAATTCAAAATTTCAGTGCAGCCATTTTTCCTGAAATGTGATTTTACCCATGGATTGAGTTCTGCTGGTAACTAGAAAAATTCTCCTCAGGGAGTTAAATAGTGGCTAAAGAGGACACATGGCATCTCCCCAGCTATAGAAATAGGGAGAATTTCTGTATTCCAGGACAAATACAGGCACGTTGACATACATACTAGTTAGAGCAGGTTGGTTTAGTGACTGTTTAAGCTCACATGCCAAATTTGGGATACATCCTATGGTTGTGAAATTGCTGGGATTTTACACACAGTTTGTTGTATACACCAACTCTACACAGAATATTGTAAAGGGAGAAGGGCAAGACTCAGAAGACAACTGTTAACAGCGCTTCCAAATCATGGACAAAAATGTGAGTATTGTATTATGTAAGTGAAAAGAATTGGCTACACCAACACAATGAGCAGAAAGCACAGAACAGGGACCTTGGAAACCAACTGGCTGTTACAGATACACTGTACAAAGCATATTTTGACTCACCACCAAACTGCTGTTACTTAACATATTCAAACAGCACAAGTTTGACTGTAACTTGAAGTGCAGCTCAAGTTGAGTTAGGCTGACACCACTCATTTAAGACTACGTGGGGCTCCACACATTTAACCAAATTTTTTGAGAGCAGGTCGCTTTCTGTACTACAGACATGTACTTTATAGCCAATTTTCCTTAAAATTCCTGATTAATTATAAGACCTTCGTGGTCTTAGTAAAGTCACAATTTACAAATCAAAACCGATAGCCAAGCACTGAAGAATGATGATGCATTTTGACATTAGTCAGGAAATAAATGAAGCTCCAAACTTGGTGACAACTTTGGGTAGGTCTTTTCTATCACATCTTGAAACCTTAAGGTATTAAAGGTAATTATTCATCTCATCAGCTGGTGGTATTAAAAGTCATCAAGATCGATTTTCTGCTCAGTGCATCACTGTCAAGCTCTAGGACTTCAAATCAAATCACAGCAGCATTGCTCCACTACTGTAAACAGCATAAAAGAGAAAGTTTAAGTGTAGAATCATTACAATATAGAAGTGGCTCCAAGTAGGTAAAAAAAGCATGTTAACTACTCTGCCAATTCAAAATCCATGCAGCCAAATGTCTTTTTAAGAAACCAAACACAAACTAAGCACTCATCTGAAATTCTGCTCATAGTCTTGCTTAAGGTACAAAGACACCACAGTTGCCAAGAGAACCAAACCTCATTACTGAGCACCAGCTTCATATTTTTTTCTGCCACATTCAAGTAACAAGAGCTCAAGTGGCCCAGTAAAGGAACACAATTTATGCCCAGCCCAAGACATCTAAACTGTCATCTTAGTAAGTGCTTGAGTTAAGCCTGTATTGTCATAAGCAGGAATTCAGGGATGAAGTGGGTTATGTCAGTCACTTGCTCCTGTTTTATGCAAAGATTCTTCTTATCACAGAGGTAGGACAGAAATAACAAATAGAACTAGATTCCAGGACACTCCTTGCCTTTTCCCTCCTTTCTCCTTTCATAAAACAATGACTAGAGTTAGGTACTTTTGTTAAAACTAATACAATCTGACCTACATTTTTGCAGAGATGAAGAAAATTCTCTTTGGCCTGTCAAATCTTACTTCAGATAAAAAACACCTACTTTTGAACAACTGAAGGCAGTTCAAGTAGTTTTTATGACAAATTCTTCAGTCGTGGCTCAGCATTTACAAATACCTTGCACCTGTTTATTATGATGGAATTTCCAACCTCTCCCCAGTCTGCCTGAAATAATTTTGTTCTGAACAAAACTTTTAACAGGGAGCAAGAACAGAGAAACTAGAAGAGACAAGGACAAAGAGCCAGCCATTTCTCCACTCTCATGTAGTCTTGTATCTGCACAGTTACAGCCTTGCTCGGACCAAGTGTTGTTCAGTAAAGCCTGGACAAAGATTGCCCAGCTAAGAACAGAAAGGGGTGTTTTAGGGAAACAAATACATTATCTAAGGTTTGGCCAACAGCAGCTGCAAGGCAGGAACGTGAGAAGTGGTGGAGTGGGGAGTGAAGGACACAAGATATCTGAAGAAATTCTGCAGCTGGAAGTGGACTGATAACACTTGCAAGGCAGCAGAGTTTTAGGGAGGAACCTTAGAAAAGCACAGATATTATTAGTAAGACAGTAAATTACTTATTAACACAAGATGCCACAGGTACAGAGATTTTACTGGTTTCAAGTAAGGAAGAGTGCAGAGGCCAATAAAACACACTGCCATTGTTCAGGGCAGAAGCCTGGCAGTTACTGGGTGTGTGTCTTTCCTCAGCAGAGGAGTCTCAAACTTTGGATCCTACTGTTTACACAACACAAAAGCCCAGCAAAACAGATGAGGAAAAATATTCCGGGAACTCACTTCACGTCCCATAAACTCCTGCCACAAGATGGTGACAGGAAGATCCAAGCTTTAATGTCATCTGAGCCAGAAGAGCAGAGGGGACAGTGCAGGTTATAGCTCTTGTTGTGTAATTTCTTTGCAGAAGTTGTTTTGGATTGAAGTTTATCCACCTACCCATGCTCATGTATCACCCAGCATGGTTTCAGACATCAAGACATACCAAAGAGGCAGTTCCCTTTCACACAGAAAGGCTGAAGCAACAAAATAATGGATTGTTTTAGAAGTAAAATTAAAAACCATACTCAAACAGGTTCTTTGAGTAACTGAAATCACTTTTATTTGTGAGGAACGTCACCCAATGCTGCACAGTTTCAAATAGATCTTAACAAGGAAAGCGGAAGTTTCTCCTCCCCACGTCCTGCAGTGATCAGGACTGGCACAGAAAAAAACAACTCATCACACTTGGGAGGTTTAGCACCAGCATCCAATAAAAAAAAAAAGCATTTTTTGTTTCAATTTTTAGTTCTTTGGTTGCTTTTTTTTCCCTTTTCAGTTTGATACCAAAAGAAAAATCGAAAAATTGAAAAATTCCTTACTAGCAAAACAGTGAAATTCTAGGAAAAAAAAAAAAACAAACCCCAAAAAACAAAAGCTCCACAGTTGCTGTTGAAAACTAGGGAGGTTGTTCTTTCTGAACCTCGCTCTCTTTTCTCTCTCATGCATCTCTCTTGTAGGCGTTCCCTGGATCTCAGCTGCTGGTAAGTTTTGTTTTCTTTTGCATTTCTGTAGGTCAAATCTTCGCTCTGGTCATCACTGTTGACAATTTATTGCTTGTGTGTTTCTTTGGTGTTACTTTTGAGCTGTATTTTAGGACACCTGTTGAAGAGCCACATTAAAAAAACTAAATAAAAATGCAGTTTAAGTTTCATTTTCTCGTTGAATTAGGCAAGATGTTAGGTGAAAAGAGAGTTATAGCAGACAGGATAGGACAACTGGCTTATCCTGTCCATATGCAGGGTCTTCCTAAAATGAAATATTATTAATTAGCAGCAGATGCTGTAACTATATAGACCAGATAGAGCTTTCTGAAAAAAAATCAGTTATAAAGCAAAACTTACTCTGTGACAAATACAGACACAGAGGAGAAGAGAGAGAGAAGAGAAAAGCAGCAAATTGCTCTTGGTTTGGCTACAGAGCACTCCCAGGACTTATCACAAATATCAGGCCATAAGGGCACGTGGCCAGAGGCCAAGTCCTGGAAGTACACACAACTCTGCTTCAGCTGGCAAACAGCAATTATCCATGTTCCTTACCTGAGGGATGGTAAAGGTGCCTGGGGAGCCGGGCATTACTCAGCACCACCCTGCTCTGTCACTGGAGCAGGAGTTTCAGCAGGTGGTTCAGTTACCTTTGTCTGAGACACAATAAACCCTGATTAGAGGCAAAGAGCAACCTCCAGACCCTTCCTCTATTCAGTGGCACAGCCAGCATAACCCAGGTTTTAAAGTAATCAAGAAAAATGAATCCCCAGAAAATTAATATTAGTGTATTTCTTGTAATTTTTGTAATTTTTATTTTTGTAATCTTGTAAAGTTGAGTGTATTTCCTGTAATTATTTCACAGCAGATTCTGTCAGGGGAACACCTCAAGTAGACACAGAATGAGAAAATCTTTCCTTGTTTAGGTAAAATCTGGTTTGCAAACAGTTTCCTGAAATGGTCTGGTCCGAGCAGTTCAGGAAATGGACCTAGAGCTTTCAAATCCATCTCTTATACTACAGACAGACTGAGGGTTTGAGGAAGCTGGAAAATACAACTGGTTTCTCTGCACTTCAAAAACAGTTGTTACAGCCTGACCTTACAGTCTGACCCCAATTAAGGACTCTCCAGAAGCAATCCCTATCCCACTGCCAGTTCCA